GGCAGGCTCTCAAAGCAAAGGAACTGCCCCTGCCGGCCTGAGCCCACTTCCCAGGCCCAGCGTACAAGGGAGCAGCTTTGGGGAGATCTTGTGGCCCCAGAGGGGAGGGGGGAAGAGAGAAAGGTGTACCTGGATAAAGGCTAGGACAGGATTCGGGAGAGCTCCGCCCCTTCCCACTATCTTAACAATAGTCAAATCATGATGTTAACAAGACACTGACTTCTCCAGCTTCAAGTGCCAGCTGTGTGGTTTGCAGTATTTCACGCAACCCTTTATGTATGTCTACAATGCAGTACTAGCTTGTCTATGTTTCTGTATTGTTTATGCTATAAGCGAGGAAACCGAGCATGGGAGATGAAGGGACGGGTGCCGTGTTGTGTAGTTAGTAGGTCACAGGTATGAAATATAAACTGAAGGTGGCACATGACCAAGTTTGTGCTTGTGGCGGTCTGAAAGAAGGGAGTGGCCGTTAGGAGGTATGGCCTTGCTGAAGGAAGTGTGTCACTGTGCAGCCAGGCTTTGAGGTCTTTTGCTCAAATTACGTTCAGTATGACACAGTTGCTCCTGCTGCCTGTGGGTCAAGATGCAGGGCTCTCAGCTCCTTCTTCAGCACCATGGCTGCCTGCCTGCCACCATCTCCCACCATGATGGTAATGAACTAAACCTCTGAAACTGTAAGCCACCTGATTAAATTTTCTTTCTAAGAGTTGCCGTGGTGTCTCTTCACAGGAACAGAAACCCTAACTAAGACAATGCTTACCCCAACACAGCAGTGTTCAGTGTGGTCCTTAGGCTAAAAGTATCGGCAGCATTCGGAGGTTTATGGAGTGTGAGATGCCCCCCTTGTCCAGCAAGCTGAGACGACCACGAAATCGAGATTCTTTCTCAAATCACGCCTTTATTTGGAGCACTCGGTTGAGGAAAATGGGGAAAAGGAAAAAGAGAGAAAAGACAGAGAGGGAGAGCAGGTGAGGGAGAGAAAGCGAAAGAGAAAGTGAGAGAGAGGGAGAGCAAGGGAGAGAGGAAGTGAGAGAGAGAGTGAGAAGCCCCAAAAAAAGCAGCTGCTTTTCTAGGGTGGAGAGGCTCGGATGCTGATTGGTTAATACCATTTGCTGGAGCCGGGAATTTCGAGATAGGCCAGGGAACCAAGGCTCTGTAATGCAAAAATACAAGCCCCAGGCACTCTGGCCTGCAGTAGCAACAAAGGATCTGTTTGCCTCCAAGCTGTAGGAGGCCAGCACCATTTAACAATGGTGATGTTCTGATGGCTCCTTACAATGGAGTGCCAGGTTCATACCCCAGGTGATTCCCACAGGGTACGGCATCTGTGAACAGGGGTGGAAGTCATCTTCCAGCATCCTCTGCTTTCAGAGAGCTGCTCTGACCGAGGTGTGAGTAACTGACTCTCCTCCTGGTCATGCTCAGTGTCTCCAAAGTAAGGTCCTACGGGTGCAGGCAAATGCATTACATTTAAGTGAAGGATGAAGTCTTGGGACAGGGCCTAGAAGACGCTTGCACAGGGATCTGATCTCTGTTTGCCTTTACTTTCCCCTGTAAAGTAGCAAGGACAGGAACGACTTCCTCCTTCTGAGGCTAGGGGCTATAAGGAAACAAGGGAATGTTCTTGGCATGTAGTCTATAAAAGTTAGATGCCAAATTATATATCTGTACGTAACATATGTTTTGTGAGTCTGTGGAATATCCATGTGTGAGTGTGAGTGTGTATGTGTTTGTGTGTATGTTGGTCATAGGTCAACCTCTAGCATCTTCTATCTCACTTCATATTGCCTTTTGAGGCAGGGTCTCTCACTGAGCCTAGAGCTCACCAATTCAGGTAGACTGGACAGCTGGTAAGCTCCAGGATTTGCCGATGTCTGCCTTCACAGTGCTGGGATTATAGGTGTGAGTCACCGTGCCTGGCTTTTACATGTGTGTTAGGGGATTTACACCCAGGTCCTCCTGCTCACCAGGCAAGAACTTCACAGAACCATCTCCTGAGCCTTCAAATGGTATTTTTTTATCACTCTGATTTAATTTCAGGCAGGCACTTCAAGATCATAGGCATTCCAAGGAATGTGGGTTAAGATTTCTGCCTGGCAAAGTTTCCAGATAAAATATAGAGATGCCTGGTTGCATTTAAACGGCAGATAAACAAGCGGTTTGTTGGTATAACTCATGCACTATCTGGGCTACAGCTACATGGAATTTCTTGTTGCACTTCTCGACACCTGGGATTTAAACGTGAGTTCCCTGGAGTTGCATCTGGTTAATATATCTCCTGATGAGGTGGCCTTCCAGTAACAGGCTCCTGGCAGGAGAGGAGGGACCCCCGGCCCTGCCATGTGTCCTCCTACCTAGCTTTTGTGGTAGGTGTGCCCACTAGTTTTGTGTTGTTTTGGAAGTTGGAGTCATTTTGGAAGAGAGAACTTCAGTTGAGAAAATGCCCCCACTAGACTGACTTGTGGGCAAACCTGTGGTATCTTTTCTTGATTACTGGTTGATGTGGGAGGGCCCAGCTCATCCTTGGTGCTATAAGGGAGCAGGCTAAGCAAGGCAGGAGGAGCTGTCCAGTGAGCAGCGCATCTCCCTAGCACCTCTGCATCAACCTGTCAAACCCGAGACTCCTGGCTGGAGTTTCTATCCTGACTTCCTTTGCTGATGAACAGTGCTATGGCAGTGTAAGCCAACCGAACCCTTCCCTTCCCAAGCTGCTTTGGGTCGTGGTGTTTTATCCCAGCCCTAGAAACTTTACCTTAGACCCTGGGGTACAGAACGCGCCTGTGAAGCCTTGGCACAGCAAGCTCTCACAAATGCCTCTGTATTTGGTCCCACGTAATGGAACCACGGAGACAGAAAGGAGCGGGGTGATTCAGGGGCCCGTTAAAATTGCTCTAATCTGGCCGACTCGAGATGGGAAACAAAAGCAGGAAATCAGGCTTCTTTGTTCTGGGAGGAGCAGCAGGGAGAGCAACGAAACAAGCCACAGACACATCTGAGCGCCTGAGTGGGGCTGTGTTTATTCAGCCCTGGAAATGTCTTAATGTGGGGCTAGATGCTCTGTTTTATCAATCTGTAATTACAAGTAGCTTGTGTTGCCGTGATTATAAAATTGCTCTCTGTTTATTTAGGGACTAAATGGCATTAATTGGAGAGTGGAGAAGTGTGTATTACTTAATTAACCTGAGATGGTGGCCTCTGCTGAAAACCCACAGCTACCAGTGTAGGTGAGTGAGTGACCCTGGGACAGCCAAGGTCCAAGCTAGCGAATGGGCTTTTAAAGGGCACCAGGGACTGGTGGCTCAGGGACAGCTTCTCGCTGAACCTGGGGCTCACCAATTTGCCTACACTGGCTGGGCAGCATCAAGGGGTCAGCCTGTGTCCCCAGTCAGTGCCACCACGTCCGTCTTTTCCATCGGTCCTGCGACCCAGACTCAGATCCTCATGCCTGTGTAGCGAGAGTTTTACCCCTGTGTCACCCCTCCAGCCCCAGCCTTTCATACAGCCAGCAGCAGAGTAAGTTTGAGAAATCAGAGTCGCCATAACCAGCGAGGATGTGTTGCACTATGCCGTTCTAACGGCCACGACACCACTGAGCGCTGAGTTCTTCAAGGCCCACCTTTGTATGCGGTCTACGGGCGATAGAATTGTGTTTCTGCGGTACATAACTGCATATTGCTTGATCTACCTCTAAGAACTTTCATACAGGTAGGTACTGTGTGTTGAACGTAACCCCCCCTGCCCTGTTCCTATGGCCTCACCCTGGAAGGGATTTCTTGCCAGCCTTCCCACCTCCCCTGGCTCCCACTCCATCAATGCTGCACCCTTCCATTCATCCTGGCTATGAGACTCCCACCCTGACACAGAAGGAAGGTCTGAGAGAAAGCACTGTAGTCTGCAGCATTCCAAGGGCATTTGGACAGAAGCCACGAGGCCTGCAAAGGAAAGGGGAGGAAGGGAAGCTTGGCTGTGTGGCCCCACAGCTCTCCTTCCTCCTATTCAAGTGGGGATTTCATTCTTAATGCTGATTTCTTTCTTCCTCTCTGGAATTGTCTTACATAATTCAAGCGAGTGAAGGAGTCAACTTAATTTGATGGCATAAAAAGAACTGTACCTTTGTTTTCTTAAAGAGAACTAATGTCTGCCTTTGTCTCTTATTTATGGACACAATAAACCAAGCTTTACTGGGGAGAGACGGAAAATGCACCGGAAAAGGACGAAATATTTATAACACTGTGATTGGAGCATTAGAAATGGGGAAATTAAAACCATCCCTCAGCACAAGGGATGCACACGTGTGCAGAGACTCCTGTGTGTGTTTCAGTCTCAGCACAAGGGAAACATGCATGTGCAGAAACTCCTGTGTGCGTTTCAGCCTCTTCTATGGGGTTGTTCTGCTGACAGCCTTGGTCATGGGGGAGTTAGAACCGAAGCAGATGTATTTAAAGAATCATGTGTCCTTGTGTAAGAGGAAAAGCAAGCCAGAAAGCCTTGAAGCTTCTGGATTCTGGAAACTTCATGATCTGAAAATGCTGTCATACACCTGTCTCACAGGGCCTCACTGTCCTCAGAGAAGACATCATGGCGGTCAACCTTCAAATGTCGAGGGGGACACCCAGAAGTTCCACTCATAAGCTACTACAATAGCTTGTGGTGGAGTTTTCCTGTCCTGACCTCCTGCTCCCAAATAACCAACACAGAAACTCAATATTAATTGTAAATGCTCTGCCAATCTCTCAGGCTGGTTACTAACCAGCTCTTACAACTTAACCCATTTCTATTCATCTATGTGTTGCCCTGGGACTTGTGCTTTTCTCTATCCCATTCTGTGTAGCTGACTCCTTCTCTGTCCAGACTGCTACTCCTCTGACTCTGCCCTTCTTCCTCCCAGCATCCTCTTAGTCATTTTTTGTAGAAGGCCGCAGCCACATTCTCCATCACAAGATGGCGCTGACATCCGGCTTCACCGCCAGGTAAACGCACACGTGTTGGTATCTTTCCACTTCTGTGTCCCCGCCTACTCCCGAGGCATCACCTAGGACTGGGAGCAGCGGACCAATCCAAGAGTGACACGTCCGAAGCAGGGTCTGTTTCCTATATAAGGGATGGCTTCCTTCATATCTGGGTCTCCGCCATGTTGGCTTATGCTCTAGCTCCCAAGAGGATTAAAGCTATTTCTGCAGAAGGATCCTGTGTCCCGCGTGGTTCTTGCAGGCGAGGCCGAGCACGGGACAATTTTTGTCCACCCCAACCTCCTCCTGCCCAGCTCTTTATTAGCCAATGAGAGTAATGCATATTCATAGTACACAAAGGATTGTTCCACAGCAATAGAGAGAAAAGGGGCACATATTTCCTGATTCATGAAGCAGGATACTTTTTGTTTTGAGAGAGAGAGAGAGAGAGAGAGAGAGAGGGAGAGAGAGAGAGAGAGAGAACTGAATTGTCAGTAGGGCTCAGAAGTGGGATCTGGGGAATCATAGGAAATCTTCCTGGAGAGATTGTGTGTGGGTGCAGACTGAGGACAACCAAATTTTAATTTTTGGTTAATAAGAATTTTTGTTTCACTTGATTAGTAGAGACTTTCAGTTTCTCTGCTAAGTATGGATGAAGCAAAGAGAAGAAGGGCAGAGCCTTGTAAACACAAGGCACCCCTGAGCAGGGCTATGTCCTGCAGAGAAGGGCAGGAAGCTGAGCTCGAACAGAATTCGGTCTGACACTGAAAGACTCTGTCACTGCTCTTGTTCATGTATATAAAATTTTAGCGTAAGGAGAAAGACTGTAAAACAGAAAGCAGGGGAGAGGAAGCCGGGGCAGGAATGGGTGTAGGGGGGCAATTGGTTGTGCTCGTCTTAGACCACCCAGACTTCAGGAACAACGACTTTGGTGGTTTGGAAATAGCAGGTACTCACTGCTCATGGTCTTAGAGAGCAGACAGTCCAAGGGTATGGCACCATCAGGTTTGGTGAGGCTTCCCTTCTGGTTCACAGAGGGCACCCTCTGGCTGAGCTCCCATGTGGTTGAATGGGTGTGGGAGCTCTCTGGGTCCTCTTTTGCAAGCATACTAATCTCACTCATCAAGGCTCCATCCTTGTAGCCCAGTGACCTCCCCCTTACATCACATATCTTGGGGAAAGGGGAAATTTACAGATACCGTGTACACCAAAGCTCAATAGAACTGATTTAGAAAAGAAATGCCAGGTGGTTAGATGATAGTAGTTGTGAGCTCAGTAGGGGGCAGACAGATGTGAGCCTCTGCACCACAGCTCCAGCATTTAGGAGCCCAGAGGCAGGTGTCTGGCTGCTGCTTATCCCGAGCAAGCAGTGTTTTTCCCATTAGTGCCAACCTCCAAAGATTGCTGGGAGCTTTAGCGGCATGCAACAAGTGAGGACGCGGTAGCATTAACCAGCATTGCTTTCAACTGTTCCTACACATTTCCATTCCCAGGTGTCTCCTGGGGAATGTAATAGAGCGGAGGGAGAATGAGATTTCGAGGTGGGAGGTTTGGGCTGGAGGTCACTCACTTCAGCGTTTGCAGCAGTAAACATGTGGAGCTGGTATTGCAGCTCAGGGTGTCCCGTCACAACCCGGCTGTGACAATCAAATGTGACGACAGAGGTGGAAATTTCCACAGTCTCGGGATAAGGAGCAAGCTAAGCGGGTCGTGCACGAGTCTCCTGTTCTTCTTTACATCTCTGGAGTTTCTGGTCGCAGAGAAGATGAATCATCCTCATTATACGTGAAAGAGTAAAGGAAGCCGCAGGTCTGAGATAAGCGGTCGGGCATTGTTTCGAAGGCCAGGCCTATGAATAGGGATGAGGGTATAATTTATGTTCTGAGAAAAGGGGAAGAGAGAGCTGTCACTAATAACACAGTGACAGCTGCTGTTAGAGGGGACTATCTGGGCAAACACAAGAAAACCGCTCATCTGTGTATAAGGGGTGTTTAGACTAAATGTTCACCCATGTGTGTCTGGAGAAAAAATGACTCCACTCTGAGGACAGGATTCAGTGGGTAGGGGCTTGCTGGGGAGCGTGAGGACATGAGTTTGGACCTTTAGAACCTTTGTAAAACCTGGGTGTGGTGACATGTGCCTAGAACCCTGGCACTGGTGTGTGTGTGGTGACCTGTGTCTAGAACCCCAGCACTGGTGTGTGTGGTGACCTATGTCTAGAATCCTGGTACTGGAAGAGCAGAGAGAGGCAGTCCCGGGGTCTCACTGGCCAGCCAGTCTAGCTGAAAGAAATGGTCAGCTCCAGGTTCAGCGAGAGATTCTGTCTCATCATTTTTTTTAAAAAAGGAAAGCATTGTAGGGGAAGACACCTAAAGTGTACAGGTTACCCACTCCCAATAAACACGTGTATACACGCACCACACACACACTCAATCGATCGCTTACTGCTGGATGGTGGTTTTTCAGGTATCTAATATGATTAAAACTCAGAGTTAATAAAATAGGTCACCTTTTGCCCCTGAACCTTGGAGTTCAAAGGGTCCATATTAAGCAAGATCTGCTTAGGTGTGACGAATGCTTTTCTGTGGCTGGGGATAGAAACTCGTTCTGGATTTGGACAAAGTCACTGCTTCCTCTCAAGGTTTCTCTACCTGAGAACAAATCCCTCCAGGACTCTTCCTTCTTGTGACCGCGAGGTCTAGCTTTCATGTTGCAGAAATATTCCTTTGAAAGCAAAGAAGCTCAAAGAGGCAGGGTCTAGTGTCTTCCTTAGTTGTTAGGAACAGTAAGCATTCGGCCTGAGGCTGTTGGTTAAAGGATGTTATTTAAAAACCCTGAAGCTCGTGCTTTTGATTATCCCAGTAAAGGGTTGTGGACCAATATCATCAACGGATGGTAAATCTATGGAAGACCATGGTTTGAAAGGTTTCCTTTTCGATCATTTATTAATTGCAAGGGGTTGGTTTATTACTGGGCAGAGGAGAGGCCACATAATTCCTTGCCATGGTGAAAAAGAATAGTGAACATAATATGCCTAGTGCATGGTGCCCACAGATAATCACCACCAAGGGAACCACCTGGGCATGGGTTGCCTTGTGCATGGTGCCCACGGGTAATCACCACCACAGAATCCAGCAAGGATGTGTTAGCCTAGTGCATGGTGCCCACAGATAATCACCACCAAGGGACCCACCTGGGCATGGGTTGCCTAGTGCATGGTGCCCATGGATAATCACCACTACGAATTCACCTGGGAATGGGTTAGCCTAGTACATGGTACCCACAAATAAGCACCACCATGGAATCCTGTGAGGATGTGCTAACCTGTATCTAATCACAGTGGGACATCAAAGGGACACATTTTGAACAATTATTAGAGAAAACATGACGTACATCCTCCCGAAGTGTCACAGCTATGGTGTCAGTGAAATCACAGAGTCAGTAGCACAGGGAGATGACAGATAAATGCAGTTCATGATAGTCGGCTGGGTCACGCATTGAGGGAACGTTTTATAGAGGATGTGTTTTATATTTGATAAATAGGAATATAATCTTTAGTTAGACAGAAGTATTTTATTATTGTCAATTTCCCTGAACTGATAACTTCTTTCAAAAAATACCATGTTTTCAGGAAACATGTTGACGGAAAGAGAAAGGACACAGTATGATGTATGTACATCTGCTCTCAGTTGGTTCAGAAAACTCAAGATCTGAGTGAGCATGAATTCAGAGGTAACAGACCAGTCATGGTGGAGTAAATTTCACGTCAGCATTGTAGCATTTAGGATGCAGTACTGTTATCACTTGCTCCTTTTGGCCAGGCTTACAGTGAAAGCCAGGGTGAGCAATAGCGATGGAGCAGAAGATGTGCCCTGTGCAGTTTGGAGAAGAGAGGACCTTGAAAACTTTACAGTTGTGGACAAGGTGGGTGTGAGCAAGGCTTCAGCAATTTCTGAAGAGATTGGCACGTTAAACAGAGATGTGCTTCATGCGGGACAATACAGAAGGTGCCTGAAAGACAAGGTTCTACGTGTGACAGGTTCCAGCATAACGGCTCCCGTAAGCAAGCACACACTCATATGAGAGGTGCTGATCTGCACAGAACGTGGTAAGAGCGTCCTTGCGTGGAGCTCTGGAGTGCATTGTATCTTAAGTTAGGAAACTGAAACCCAAATCGCAATGCAGAATTTAGGATACCACTGTTAGGTTGCAATCTTTTCCAGGTAATCTTTCTGCTTTGGGGGGCGGGGGAAGCTTACTAAGACATAGGTGGCTAAGAGGGAGGTGAGACATTGGGGTCCTTTAAGACAAGACATTTACAGGAGGCAAAACAACAGCATGGTCTAAGGGAAGTGAAATACTTCATCCTTTGGTAACTCAAACCCAGGAACCGAGCACTCTAAACAGCTCCAGGAAGTCCCTGAAACCGATGATATTTGCTATGTACCCCTTCCTAAGCACGTGTAAGTAGTAAGGACTGCGGAGAGAAACTCTCAGTCCAGCTGAGCTGCAGAGAAGAGCCTTTGTATAAGTTGAACAGTCTGGAATAAACAGAGCAACTGAACTGCCTGGGCCAAACAAAGACGGCCGAGCTGCCTGGTAGAGACTCATATAGACTAAGTCACCTGTGGAGGGCCCTCCAGTCTTCCCAGGAGCCTGCAGATTTTGCAGTGTTCCCTGAGTTTCTGGTTTTCATGAGCCATCGTCCATGTTGGGCTTTGGTGATGTAGTTGTCTTTGAGGCAACTCTTCTCCTATGAGTAACCCCTTGGTCACAGTCCTGTAAGTAACCCCAATACAGCTCATTAGTTCACCAAATTAGACTGGTGCTGTCTGAACTTTAGATTGCCAGTTCCCTATGTAAAATGAGCTGACATTTGTTCATGTCTCCAGGAGCAGGATAATGCCACACAACAACTAGAAATTCCAGAGATATGAGATGTATGCTAAAGCAAACAGCAGGTACTTCATGAAGCTAGCTTACGGGAGAGGCCATGTGAAC